TAAGATAGGACAAAACCACTGCCCAGCAGTGAGAAGTGAGAGGGGAAAGCCTGAGAAACAGCCCTGTGCACACCAAGGTGAGAGAAGGAAGAGGGGGAGGAAGAGCCCCAAGGGTTGGAGCAGAGATTCCCCTGCAGCCCATAGTGGGGAATCATCATCATGCAGGTTCCCCTGCAGCCTCTGGAGGCCCCCATGGACAAGGGGAAAAGGGGGAGGAGGAGTAAGGAGTGACAGGGATCAGCTGTTACAAACTGACCACAAACCTCACATCCCACTTCCCTGTGCTGCTCACTGGAAGCAATCAGAAGGGTTGAAGGAAGGAGTGAATTTGAAAGGAACAAGGGGAGAAGGTGTTTTAGGTTTTGTCCTTGTTTCTCACCATACCAGTCTATTTTAATCAGCAATAAATTAAGTTAATATTCCTCAAGACAAGCCCATTCTGTCCGTTAAGGCAAGTGACGTCCCTGCCCTCATCTTGAGATACATCAAATGAGAGAGGGGCTGGGTCAGAGACTGGCAGCCACTGAGGTCAGCCCACCACTCTTGGGAATCAAATTTGGGAACTGAATTTTACACATTTATGTATTCCAATTATATAAAAGTGACCAAAGTTCATTATTCATTACACTACTAAGCACGCTTGCTAATAGTGAGGTGAGCAACGCTTGCTACACAGAAAGTGTATGCTGGTTCCACCACCTGATGCCCCCAGACACCTGTGAAGGCTCAAAGTTCTGGAGTGGTTTCAAAAGCTTCTTTAACTGATTTACGGCTTTGCTACTGCCAAAAGAGAAGAGATCCTGCCCTACTTTTCACACGCACATCACTGCACTATTTTCTTGTGAGGCAGCAATAAGGCTTATCTGGCTGAAAACTACTGTTCATTTTTAGTGCTGGAACAAAAAGGGAGCATAAGATCATCACTTCCAGCAAACATGCTATCATGAAACTATACCCTTGGAGTGCTCCAGGCTCATGATCCCAATGTTCCTCAGAAAATAACTACGCTTATGAGACTTGGATCATAGCTGCTGTTCTAGCTTCACACTGGGGTTTCTTAAAATGTCCATCCTGATTTATTCACATGTAAAGATAGTAAGAAATGTCCTGCTGGGTTTTTTTGAGCCAATTTGTCACAAAATTTTTTCAACACTGCTTGACCAAACCTGTGACAGGACCAGAGGACTTTCTGAACCAATCTAAATTTATGGTCTACTAATCTGGTATCCTCTTTGTGACAAATGACAAGGTCAGTCATTTAACAAATGTGCGTGACCTCCTGCAGTAGTTATCTCTAAGATAATTCATTCCATGAAAGAATACCCTACCCACTTATCCATTTATTTTTCCCTACACCTGGGGTCTTTTTCTTCCTCCTAAAATCTTGCAATAATTCACTCAGAAACATAGAATATGCTGAGTTGGAAGGGATCCAACTCGACTTCGAAGTGTGCAACTCCTGACCCCAAGAATCCCACCATGTGCCTAAAAATCATTGTCCAAACACTTTATGAACTCTGTCAGGCTTGGTGCTGTGACCACTTCCCTGGGGAATCCAGTCCAGTGCCCAGCCACCCTCTGGATGAAAAGCTTTTTCCAGTTATCCAACCTAAACCTCCCCTGACACAACTTCTGGCATTTGCTTGGGTCCTGTCACTGGTCACGAAAGTAAAGAGATTAGAACTTGCTGCTCCTCTTTTTCACATGCTTTCAAGGAAGCTGACAGCTCCTCCCAGTTTAGTGTTCTCAGCACACTTATTTAGTATTCCTTTGTGTTCAAGTCATTAATGAAGATACTGAAAAAAACTGGGCCCAGGATGGAGCCCTTCAGAACCCCACTGTTACAACTCTCACTACCCTGTCAATTCAAAACTGTTCTGAATTTTCTCAGCTTCTTGGCTTCATTCCATAGCAATCCAATGGGGCTTTTATCCAGACAGCTAAAAACCGCAATTCTCTTCCCAGATATGATGTGAACTTGTAGGTGCATACTTTCCTCATGAAACTATTATTTTCCCTTGAAGTTTTAGTTTCTTTTTTGCCTGCCAAAAAGGAAAGCAAAGGCATGTTACCCCTGCCACATAAACACATGGAGGAGAATGAGCGTCTGGTTTCTGACCATTACTGATGCTGAGATTGACTGGGATAAACAGCAAGGGCTCCAAGTACCACCTCTGGCTCAGTGAGCCAACTGTTTGATTGTTCTCATGTTAACAGCTTATGTGCAATTGCTGCTGGTTTAGACTGTAACACAGTAAGTGCAGCACTGTGGGAACAGAGGCCTATTTTTGCACAAGCAGTTTTATTCTCTTTCTTTCAGGAAGAGTAAGATCTGAGCTTGACTGTATTACTTTGTGAAATTTTATTTTCCCCAAAGAAGTGTTTGGTATATCTGATTCAATCTGAATCATCCAAGCCCACAAATCTCATTGCAGCATATGTTACCAATATAAATAGTTGAATTTACTTTCAGTTGAGGAGGTTATATAAAGAGCTTAATAAGTTTCAACACATTGATTAAAGTAATTTTTGCATTTATTGTTCTCCCAATTTTTAATGGCTGCGCACATCATAGATCTATATAACATTCCATGCTCACTGTTGCTTAATGGCTTACCTTTAAGATGGTAATGATTAAAGGAGATATATAGGAGATACAAAGACTGAGACGTATCCATCTACAGCCTAGGGACTTTAATTTATCAGTTGAAAACTGGGTCTCAAAAGAGAAATTAAGTGAAGAGTTAGTTCAGAAAAAAAAGAATGTAAAATCATAGTAATAGGTAATTTTTAAAATATTTATATTTTTAGAAGCAGGTTTACAGTCTATCAACCTTTGTTTGTGTATAATTTTGGCGTTCATTGCAACAATACCTTAGTCCTTATTTCTTGCATAGTCCCAGGATTCCAGGGCACCTTGTTTTTCACAAATGGGCTAGAAGCAAAACACTTCAAGGGCAGGAAAACAGGAAAGAACTCATGAGAGATCTGCTATCAACTAGCACGGTTTCTTGAATTTAAATGGGTCAGACCATTGAGACTGGTTGGTCTGGGGCTTCCCAATTCTGGATCTATACTATTTACAGTCATTCTCTGTGCTCTGTGGAGATTCCCTTAGCTGGCCTGAGCACCATTCTGCCTTTTTAGAATGTTCAAAGCAACTACACTGGAAGTAATAGCTCCTGTGAGAGGAGAACTGCTTTCATCCCTGTTACTATCAAGTAAAAAATACCTCTAAAGCGAAAAATACCACCAAAATCAACGCACCAAAAATACTTCTAAATGAAAAGTAGTATTAAAGAGAAATTGCATCTAAAACACTTGAAGGAATATTTTTGCCGGTATAATGGTGTTTTTTAGAAGACTCCTTGTAACACGTAAAAATTTCCAATTATTTCATATTTCACTAAACACTTCCTAATACCCAAAAAGTCTAAGAAGGCATTTCCTACTGACTCTGCTTATTACAGAAACCCCTCTAACCCAATTTGTAGCATATTATATAGACATCAGCCCACTAGGGGACCTACCAAACAAATTCTGTGACTCAGGTGACAAATTAAGAAGCATTTCTAGTTCAGATTTGTGCATGGGATCCTCAGGTTTTGCTGCAACCTTAGGCTACCGGTATAGATTTTAAAAAAAAATCTCCCTTATTCATTCATATTCCATTTTTGCTTTAATTTGCTTTTCTACTTCATATTTACCTTACAGACAACTTTATTCTATTTCACATTCCTGAGAATCTTATTGTAGCTCATGGGTCTATGTGGATAATCTCTTTAGTAGCAATACTCTTCAGGGCACAAGACAGTCAAATGTGCATGCAAGTCCTTGAAGCTATTGTTGAAATGGAAATTCAACTTTCAAATCCCAAAACATTTGCTTTCATTTAAATTAGTTTGAGTTATGACATTGGTGACTTACTCCCAGACACATTCATGAGACAGTATTTCATATTCTCAGAAGAAACTGCCTGTAACTGAGATATGCATGATAGTGAAAAAAGATGGAAATTAATTTTATCACTGTGATGAACACACTACTACTTAAATCAAAATTTATTTGCAAGTTTTGGTGGAACAGGAACAGATTCAGGGGAAATAGAAGATTAAATATTTTTTTATAGAATCACAGAATATGCTGAATTGGAAGGGACCCATCAGGATCATTGAGTCTAACTCCTGTCATTCAAAAATGAAGAGTCTCTTTACCAATGTAAGTACCATGCAGGAAATAAAGACTTCCTTAGTAAATATATTTATATCTGAATGTTAATACAATTGTGACATGAATTTCATTTTTTTCTCCTAAAATTAGAAAAGGGTCTAGAATGCAAGCATGATACTATAATCACATCTCCTAATTTCACTGTGCTGTCTACATCATTGGCACTGAATTTTATGAAATGACTACAGAAGCAATGGGACTGCCTGGTGGAGACTAAGGTGTACAAGCATTAACTCAAACAGAACTCATCAGCTAAAATGGGACAGCAGATATTCTATCTGCAACCTGAAATTCACAGTCCCTTACTATATGCAGCTACATTGCATAAGATACAGGCTAAAGTATGAGGACACACACTACTGATTGTACTAATCAAAACCTTATTCAGAAGTGATCTGTTTAGTGGTGCACAATGGCAGATGCCACAGCATATTTTTTTGTGATGCAAGGCTGCTCAAGATCATCTATGGATAATGAACCATGACAGCTTGGGATTTGATAAAACACAAATTGATGGTGAGAGAAGGCAAAGAATACAACTACCATCTGAACAAAAAATGCAAATCAACTGGATTCTTTTAATCTTTAATGTCAGAATGAAATATCACGTAATAAAATAACATTACATGTTCATAAATCTAACAAACTTTGCATCAGAAAAAGTGATTTCTTTAATTTCTTTACTATCTCCACTTTAATTATTGCAATGACATGGATTAAAGTATCTATTAGGTTATAGAAGGTAACAGAATCTTGTTTGTTTAAAATACCTTATATGATTGGCATCAATGCAGTGTTCACAGGGGAATCCTGAATGAAGGTTCTTCTTCTTCACGGTTGAGAAAAATATCCCTTTTCTCCCTTTAAAAGAAAGACATTCCATGTAAACACTTGCCAGTACCTATAGTGCTGTATTTTCCATCTTTGCCTACGAACAACTGCTGCTTAAAAACTCCTTTAAATGTACTTGGTTTGTTCACTGCCTTTCAGCTGATTGCCTGTAGCTGATTATCATGAGATTTAATCAGACTGTTAAGAGACACAGAAGAAAAATATGTGAACAAGATTTCTTCATCATGGACTGATTTAGACTATTTTCTTAGTGTGCTGCAATATTATATATTTCTGTAGATTTCATCAGTGAGCCAAGTAAAGTGAATTGCAATGATCTCACATCATGTTTTTCTACTGCTGTAACCCACAAAATTCCTTAACTTAGCATGCTCAGTGAATTCATGTGATATTGGAAAGACATGGATGTATACTTGAACATTTTTTAACTTCTACACACAAATAGACAATTTCAGAACAGTTTGGATTAAGGGCAAAAGTGACATCAATCAATTCAGTCTTAGACTCAAAACAATTTCCTAGAACTGTTCAGATTATACTAGATTTTCTTTTCCTTCTCTGCTATTTGCCTTCTATAGAGTCTCCTATTCTGGTAAATTAAAGGAATTCACATGACTTTTTCCTCACAGCTGTAACTAGAAGCTCCAGTTAAGACTGAATGCTCACTGAGCTGGAAGTTGTTTGAACAAGGCTGTTAGACATCTTTAAGATTTTTATAAATCAAATCCCTTAGACAGCAAAGGATAAACGAGTAAAAGCTGTATCAATATATTTGTTCTACAGATGAAAGCAAAGGTACACAAATATTAAACAATATGCTGGAAGTCACATGAGGTTCAAGGATCCTTCTCAGTCTTAAATGCCTTGAATCCTTGCCCAATCACACCCCATAAAGCCTGTCCTCAGCCCCCATATCTTATATGTAGCACTTTTGATTATTTTTCTTAGGAGGAAGTACTATCAGTATTTAATTTTCTTGCACTTGACAACATTTAGAACTGCAAAATTACAAATAAAGATTTGTTTTAAACAACAGAAGCATTGAGTTAAATCAAAAATTCATTAAAGTTATTTTAAATACTTTGGAAGCTTTCATTTTTCACTGGTTAAGTACTAAGGAATCAATGCTGTAAAAATGATGGAATTTTCTGCAAATGTATATACTTATTATTTGCCTTCTAATTTTTAGGGAATAAAGTCCATATCAGCAAGGTGCATTGCATTGAATGTAGGGTCACCAAAGTCTGGGGGTACATGAATTTAGAGCTCCACACAATGTGTCTTTTCCACTAGAAAAAGAAAGAAAGACTGAAGCTTTTAAATTACTCCAGGACCTAGGGTTTTAATGAAATAACTATCAGGAAAAGCTGGTTAAAAATGTTCTGACTTTCAAAGTCAACAATTATTTTCTAGCTTGTGGCTGTCTGGATAGAATATCTTTATTTATCAAAACAACAAAGTGAAATTAAACTCATTAGATGCAAACCACAACATTAATAAAAGAACATCACTGCAATGTCAAGCACTCAGAGTTTAATTCAGTCTATTTCTGTGGCTTTATGACAGTCTCTGAGTCACAATTTTTTTGTGGGGAGCTATGCTTATTCAGTGCCTAGGTTGTTTTTTTAAGGAATTTAAGAGGTTTACCCCTCCTATTTTGTGAATGCTCTAGAATTCACATACCTTATAGAGCAGATTCTTAAAATAAAATAATTATTTTCATGATGAAAATTTTTTAGGATAAAAAAATCCACTAATTTTATACACTAAATAATGGATCCTTATTTCCTCTCCACCTCCTTTTTTTTTTTTTTTTTTTTTTTCTTCAGAGCATGTAGCATTGTATCTTCCTATATATCCAAGACAACTCCACTGAATTTCATTTTCCTGCCTTCCTGGCTCATTTCTCAACCATTCCCAGTTCTCTCGAGCTAGGATTACTGGCTGATACTCCTGGCAGTTTTGTTGGCAGCTCTGTATCTGCTGTCCAGATATCCAATACCTTATTAAATCTGTCTTCTCTGGAGCTCCCTGCCAATTGTGACTCTTTTTGTCTGGTCAGTTCCAGTTTCCCATTCCATGTCCAATTTTTATGCCCTTTCTTGTTATCCAGGTTGACTATTAATCCACTGCCCTTGCCCAACAAGCCCCAGCCATTCCCTCCTCAGCTAAAGGCTGACCAGTCTTCTGGTCCTCTTCTGTCCACTGGGGTCCTGGCATAGTTCTGTATGGTGCAACACACAGAGGGACTACCAAAAGCTGCCACAGGAAACTCTTTTTAAATCTTTTTTCATCTTGCAACAAAGTCTATTTGTAATAGGGACACTAGAGTTTATCACAGTCAGCCTCTGGAGATTTGAGAAGCCAGAGCACACTTAGTAATGACTGCAAATGGAGATTTTCCATCTTTGTTTCATTAACAGATTCCTCTTCCCTCTGTGAGTTCTTTTCCTTTTCAAAAGGCTTATGATTTTGTTAATTCTAGTGAATAATCACAGGCACGGCCACAAATACACTCTGTCAGAATTGGCAATCTCACTGCTAGGCAAAAAAACCCTAAATCTGCCAAAAAGGAAACTTTCAAATATGAAATGTGGTTTTGTGTCAAGATCTTAACTGTGTTGAAAAATCCTAGTTAGATACAAATATTTCTAAGGAGACAGGATTTAACATTTGGGAATCAGGAAAAGACAGATAAATCTATAAGTAAGTTTTAGTACATTTTAATATAGGTAACAATGAAGCATGAACCATGTTCCAACAAGAATTTCTAGGTTTTCTTAGAGATTTAAAACTTCTTTTTACAAGTCCCTTAGGGAGCAGAACAAACCTCTCTCACTTATTGGATGAACAGTGCATAATACTTTGCATAATGAAATTAAGCAGCCTGAAGTACATGTGAACATGACTAATGAGACCAAATGCAGCAGGAAAACCAAGCAGATGGCTTGAGTGAGCTGGAACAGAGTAGCAAGGAGAGATCTGGATGTTTTGGGGTTTTGCAGGATACATACAGAAACACAAATATAATTTTTGCATTTCTGTATAACAGTGCATCTGTCAGCACTTTGGTGGTCTATGGACCACAAGTGAGAGCTTGCCAGAATACTAATTCTGTCTGTGGAAAACCTTTATGTGTCATCTATGGAGACACAAAATGCAAACAAAATGGAGGTTGGGGGTAGGAGTTGTTTGTTTTGCTGTGTTTTGCTTTTTTAATTGCATAAAAAGATATTTAAGCTAGTGGTATACTTTTAATGAATTAGTTCTTCTCCATCAAAAGCCTGGTTCTCAGACACCTGCTCAGTAATATGAACATCTGGGGGAAAATGCAGTAAGAGAGAGAAAGGAGGCAGCAGGTATTAAAAGATGATGGGAAAAGGCTTTCTTATCAAGAAAGGTCAATGACCAACTTATAAAGGATGCTACCAGAAATACTGGAAGATGAAGATACATTCAGTTTGCTCTCATTGCTTTCTGGGGAAAAAAACAAATCTGTCCACGGGAAAGATTAACTTCATTTCTGTAACATGAGCTACAAAGAAGGTTAGCAGACAGCCTCACCTTGAGAGGTATTCAGGTGAAGCTATAGCTCTGCTCTACACGAAACACATTCTGACACTAGCTATTTACATCTGCAAACTTAAGGGCTTGCCTGCAGTTATATTATAAAGAACAAGCAGATTCAGAGAGAAAAAGTATAAAACTAAGCAAATTTGCAATGTCATCCTGCTGCTATCTCTGCCACAAATGACTGGAATGAAATGCCTTTAGATGTATATTTTCTGACTGAGGTATTTTTTTTTTACTAGAAAACTTCATGTGATATTTTGAAAGGAAGCACAGACGTCACCTAAGTTTACAATATAAAGCTATCTTGTCAACAAAGCAATTTTAACCAATGTTCAGAAGAAAACTATTTAATTGATTTTCCTGCTCCTGTCAGTAAGTATAGTAGTATGTTCCACTGCTGATGATCATGCTACAGCTGTAGCCCACCTACCACATACTGGACTATTACATGCTCCTAATATTCAGTGCTCATAACACAATTTAGCAGTGCAAAATACTTTTACTACCAACACAAATTGCTGAGGTACAAAGTTCACACATTCTTTAATCCCTTCAGTTAGTTTTAAAAATGTATCTCTCCACTGTGTACACCGGTCTCTCTTTTTAAAAGTTCAGAAAATTTAGAAACATAGAAAGAGACTGAGTAATTCCATGGAGCATCATTGTGCAGGCAAGAAAATAAAAAAGAACCAAAACTCACAGAACTGCAAACTTCTTTTACTTTTGGAAGACAGTAGTAATATTTACTTTTTTTTTCCCCCAGGGACTTCTGATGGTATTTTTTCTCCTGTCTAAACAAAAAACATTTCCTTTATTCTGAAGCATATTGAAGTTATCTCCACTCTGAAACAACCACAAAAGTCTTTAACAATCCAGACCAGCAAGATCTTCCAGTCAGCCTTGACCTAAATTCATCAGGTGACATATGCAGAGATTCAATTTCTTTTACTGCAAATGATTGTTAATTACACCAAAGCACAAATTTTAAGCTTCAATCTAAGCAACAATATGAAGTATTTACTATGTGATAAATGACTTAAATAAGAAGTCATTCCAAATCATTCCAGCCTATATTACTTTTATCAGATCTCCCTCATCTTCTAAACACTGGCTATTATTCAAACTATCCACCAAATCCAACTTATATCAGTATCCTTGTAGCTTTCTAGTGTAACTTGTGTTAAGTATGAGTACCTACTACACAACTGAAAACAAAGATTAATTGATGTCAGTGCCTTTTATTGTCCATACAGACCAGGTTTGCAATATGCAATAGAGTTTTGTGAGGAAAAGTATCAGCAGGCAATTTCTATCCTCTCAGTGCTTTAAAAATTATATTCTCCTTCTGTAAAGCTGTCTGTAAGTAAGTCCAATTGCAAAGCTGGGTTTCTGTGATCTTCTGCAATAATTTTTATCAATACAGAGGACTCAAACTT